CCTGGCTGAGACAGTGTTTGTCGTGTTTCTCCACTCTACAGTTATTGTTTTCCTCCTGCCATATTGTGACCATATCAAGTCACTATACTAATGTGCTGGAGCCAACATAAGAAAATGTCATGTGCTGAGTACCTTAAATAACAGAAATTTACTGTCTCATTAATTCTGGGATGTATTGATCAGCTTCATCACTGAGACATAATACTTGAGATAATAAACTTTTGAGAAGGAAAGGTTTCATTTGGCTCACAGATTCTGAGCTTTCACTCCAGGATGGTTTACCCCATTGCTTCTGAGCTAGCAGAGAGTTGTCACCTCTGATGGAGCAAAGCATTTCATCCCCTGCCTGGTGGGAAATGAAAGATACAGGAAGGGACTGGGAGGCCCACTATTTTCTGCAAGGGAACTTCCAATGACCTAACGTTTTCCCCAGGATCCCACCTCCTGCAGGTTCCAATCTTTCCCTAAGTCACTGAGAATCAACTTTTAACTCATACACCTTTGACAGGCATCCTAATTCCAAGCTGCATGTGAACCTGAACCCTGAATCCAAGATCAAGGGGTCAGTAGGTCGGATCCCTTCTGAAGATGGTGCAGGAGAAGCTGTCCTGGGATTTCGTTGTAGCTTCTGCTGGTTTGCCAGCTGCCTTACAAATTCTTCTTTGGTTAGCAGCCATACCACCTTCAGTTCTGTCTCAGTTACTGTGGAACTGTTATCCTGTTTGTGTCTAGGTCTACATTTCCTTGTTTTACAGATGAATGAGTCCTTCTGCATCCGAGGCCTCCTTACTCCAGTATGAACTTCTCTTAACTATTGTGTGGCATGGTCCTATTTCTACAGAAGGTCACATTTTGAGGTACTTGAGGCTTATGGGCTTGCAGTGGATGGGAGATACAGTGCAACCCGTGACAATCACCGCACATGGTACAGACAGGCTTAAACCATTAGGAATTATAATCAGTGTCCCTGACAACATGACAACAGAATGTCCTGTAGGTGAGTTGGAGTTCTTCTGTATGAAAAATTTGATTCCTCTGTCATGTACCATTTATTTGGTTGACCATTTATTTATATCAGATTTGGGTCATTAGTAAATATTTTATACTTTATATTTTAACCCAAAACTATTTACTTATTTTGTAGTTCAAATTGTTTCATCTTTGGGCTTTTTGGAGTACTTTAGGTGGGCTTCTGTGATCTTTCAGCATATTCTATTCTCATCTACATGTTGTGAGGTTCTTTTGGTTCCTCTTATCCAGTTCCAGAACTTGCTGCCCTCTGACACTCAGAGGATTTAGGATTATTTTGTATATGCCCTGCCCCACCATTGTAACCAACCATTAAGGACCCAAGGAACCTTGGTTCCTTTTGCTAAGGAATAATATTAAGAACCAAGTTCTGGGCAATTGTAATCTATCTCTGTGTGGTTCTTTCTAGTCTCTTCTCTGTGCATATCTGCAACTTCACTGTACAACAGTGAGAAATATGGGGCCTACCACTTGCCCTTCATTTACTTAATTGTTCAAATCCAATACATTTGCATAGCAGTTTTCATTTACTTTTAATCTACAGAATTATTAAAGCATAAATATTAATAAACCAATCATAAATATTTAAATATGTACAAATTCCACAGAGTAATGGCTTACATTTCCCAAGAATAACTGCAGATAAAATTGAAGGAATATAATTTCTTCTCTGGGTCATTAATGAGGACAGTGCTATTAGTGAAGTGAGATTGACTTTCTCTTTACTGTAATGTGTTATACATGAGACCAATTTGAATAAATGATACAAACATCAGCTTCATTTTTTTTAGCTTCATATTTTTAACACAGGAGTAAATTATAAAATTTATGTACTTGCTCTTCCTATATATGTTATTTACATATATAAGTTATGTTTATGTGAGTATATATACATACATGTGACCTATACACACATAATCAAATGTAATAAACTTCATTGTAAGAATTTATGTATTTTTTATTTTTGGTGCTGGACTTGAACTCAGGACCTTGCACCTGTCAGGCAGGTACTGTGTTGCTGAGCTACTTCCTGGCCCAAGAGTTTCTGAAATGTGAATATAGTCTGAACTACAAACTAGTTACAGGGGTAAAAGTGAAAATTTTTTCTGTCTCTTTTTCATGTATTTTCTGTCTTTGATTATGACAGAATAAGGAAGCCCTGGAGGTCAGAAGGGTTGCATCACAAGAATGCCAACTATCTGAAACATATGAAAGTGTAAAATTTTCTCTATCTTATGTCATATCAAAATTTGCCTTCCCTTTGTATGCTTAGCATAATCAATAGTCTGTTTTCTTTCTCTCTCCTTCCACCCTTTTTTGAATATAAATAGGGTGAAAATTGTAGAGTACCATATAACAAGGCAAAATGAAATAAACAGAGGTGTTTGTGCAGGTGGGTGTAGTATATGAATTTAAATCTAAGTTTTGTATTACTTTCTGTATATCCAGCCTCTCCCTGATATTGCCTTAAAGTCTGATTATCTCATGTGTCCCAGGTGCTGCTGAGGTGACCAGCTTAGCATAGGGCTTCGCACAGGCACCATTGCCAGCCCTTGCCCTCACCCCCACCTCTGATCCTATCATTTCTCTGCTCATGTTGCTTGGCAATCCTGTCACTGCCATCAAGCAAGGAGCATGATAAATTTTCTCCTATGAAATTAAAATCAAGGCACTACTTTCCTCTATGGCTCTTTATTTGGAAACCTTTATGGATATTCCTCTTTATCATGTTAGGGGAGAGGCATCAGGCATCACGGGCGTGTGTGAGTCTCAGGGCCTCTCAGGTCAGGGAGCTGGAGTGGAAACATGAGGCCACACACAGAGTTGGTGAGGATGGTTTTATAACCTTTCTCATTGCTATCTTAATCCAGCATGGCTGCTGCTTAAAAAAAAAAGATGCCTTGGACTGGGTACCTTACAAAAACCAAAACCTTTTTTTCACAATTTTGAGATGGAACTAAGGGTGCAGTGTGTATGGAGCCTCCTTTCTGGCCCTTGTTGGTCTTTTCTCATTGCAACCTCCCGTGCCAGCAAGACTTGCGCAGGTTGGCCTTGAGGATGAGGCTTTCATCCTCACATGCACTTCTGATCCCTGACCAAAAGATGCCTTTCGCTTGGGCTAGCTGTAATCTCCCTAATTTCTCAATAAAGCTCGGGTCCTGTGAGACCCTCTGACAATAACTTGACGTCGTAGGAGTGATTGGGAACACAAACTGCTGAAGAAAAATCAAAAAATGAAAAATGTTAAGACTTCCTCTCAAATCATTCAGAATGCAATTTAGACTCTGAAATAGCAAATGTTTTATTCACACGAAATTCAATTAAAATGTACATCTCTTCTGTTTTCTAAAAAAATTAATTTGCATCTTAACTTGCTGCTGCTGTGCCCAGGATTTTTAAATCAAATACTAAAAATGAACTTGTCAACTCCAGCAGCTTTAGGCTGGGAGCTAAATGCTTCATAAACTCTCTTTTGTTTTGTAGTCTGTTCTCTTACAAGGGAACTAGTGCTGTCTTAGATTGTTAATAGGTAGGTTTTAAATGAATGTTAAATTAGATTCCTTTTCTTCACTAGTACACTAATCCACCTTATTTCCTTTATGTATTTTTATCTACTTGTCGGACTTATGACCTTAGAATTTAATAGGAGCCATTATGTCATTTACATAATTCCAGAGGCCCAGGAGGCCATTTCTATTTTTTATGTTTCTCAACTATTTTATTGTTCCTTCACCAATAGCACAGAAAAATCAGGATTAGCTTAGAAATGCAGAAATTGTGACTATTCTCTTTTCCCCTCTGTGTAGTCGGTATAGGGCCTGCAAGGTCCACAGAGTCTCACTACATAGATCAGACTCATAGTGATTTTCCTGCTTTTAGCCTCCCAACCTCTGGCATTACAGGTATGTGCCACCATGTCCAGTCTCAGTCGCCCTCTCAGCGCTCCCCAGGGGCGGGGTCGGCACAGCATGAATCCCATCAATTCGCTCTGCCTAAGCAGACACTTTAGTCCACTGAGCTATCTGGCTGATCCATGTCTATTCTTTATAGTTTTCAAACTCGAAACTATAGACTTTTTAAAAATGCATATATTATAGGTTAATTATACTATCCTTTTTATAAATTAGAATTATTTTCACCTGCAAGCAGGAAGGGTACTCCTCAGACTAAATTTTGTATGCATTGCAGAGTAGGGTAGGTAGGACCAAATCTTAGATTTTCTGCAGAATCTCTTTCATTGTCTTTTTTGTTCAAATGCCTTATGAAATGATGTTCAGAAGTCCCACATGCATGCCCTTCAAATGTAACAATCTCAATAGAAGAGCAGTTTGTCTAAAGAATTCAGGAAGAATGGCTCACAACCAAGTGAATTAAGCTGGTTTGGAATGTACAGCTGTCACTGAATTCATTGCTGCAATAAGGGTCTACATAGGCCTGGCTGGAAGTCTGGTTCACACAAGTGAACTCCATGAAACTACAAGAAATCATTCCCCCTACCCTGAAAGGACGAGCATGTCACCAGTGAAGAGAAGAAGTACTGCCAAATAGACAATACTTTTTCTGTTTCAATTTCTCCTCACATCTCAATTTATTTCTTAATTTCAGTTTAAATTTTTATTACTCCATGTTTGCAACCTATAATGATTATATTTATTGTGCTCAGTTGTTCAATGTACAGAACACAACTTCTCTTGTTCAGTTTCTCTCATCAGTGCCAAGTTGTGTGGGACTGAGCTGGCCAGCTCTTCTAAGCTCATGTCCTGGGTAACTGGGTACTTTTCAGCTGCTTCTCTTTAGAAAGTCTTTTAGGAAATTCCTTCTCATGTGAATTCTATTCACTTGTCCTCTGGATTCCTGGCCCCAATGTTGTGTTTATGTCTTCTTAGAAAAGCTTTCCCTATCTGAAAAATAATCAGGTTACATATTATGTACAATGACAGCATTTTCCTATTTCTTTCTTTTTCTTTTTCCAGGGGAGAGCATGAACACAGTCCCCCACTACCACAAATTATGCCATCGAATTTCCAACATTTGGGGAAATCACAGGGGTCAGCACATTCGGGGTGCGATGGGTAAGCCTCACCCTGGGAAATCCACCTTTGTGATTGTGGTATATCCCCTACCAGGATTTTAAACATGGCTCAGGTTATAAGATGCTCTACTTTTAGAGAATATGCTTTTGAGCAATGACTACCTCTGGTGACCTAAATTCATCATTTGAGAGCTTCACTTAAGCAATTGGACTGAGTTCTTCTGAATCTAATACTTCATAGGGTCATGAAGGTATGACAAAAAGACCCCTTGGATAAGCCCTACTGTGATCTTGCAGTGTAAAATATTATCATACAAAGATGGTAGAGAGTATGCTATACAATAGGTATTTTCTCTAAGAGATATATATCTCTTCTAAAATCTTGAGATATAAAATGAGTAATATGTAGACTTCCTATCTAGATAAATGTTCCTAAAAGATAAATGCAACACAAAGTAAAGTTTAGTAAGATAATCACATACAAAAAAAAATATAGAATAAGAGTAGAGTATTTCTAACATGATCTGTGAATTTGGAAGGAAAGCCAAGAAAGACTTTGTAAAGGAGACAGTGGGGTGTGTTTCTCATGGAATGCAGGAGACAAGCTGTTTGCCATCTCGACCGGAGCCTGTAGGGCTCTTGGATCACAGGGGGCAGCTGAACAAGAGCAGTCAGTCAGTGTTTCATTACTGTGTTAAAATAATGCCAGCCTGCCTTATATGTGCACAAGTACCTCATAATAACCAGGTATTTCCCATTGCGCTTTTCTTGTATCATTGATGTTATGCAGTCCACTTATATGTAAGCTATAACCATCAAATATATTGTTGCTGTTAGTGTTTGGTGGAACTTTACCTCTTTGCTCAATGAAGGACAAGAAACAATAAAGTTCTTCAGTTTACTTATTCCTCCCTCTCCTTTAATGTTCTTTCTTTTGTTTATAGATCTCAGTTTCTTTCTTCTTTTTGGTACTGGGAATTGAACTCAGGATCTTTTGACTGGTGCTGTGCCACTGAGCTAGATCCCCACCCTAGCTCTGAGTTCCTTATCACTTTTCTTTCTGAAGGACTCTTTAGATATTCCCTAGAAGGTCAGTCTCCTGGTAATAAATTCCTTCACTTCATTTTTTTTCTGAGGGAAGTCTATTTCTCCTTCACTTTTGGATTCTATCCTATAATTTTGTGGGATACAGCATTGTAGGTGGGTCTTATTTTATCTGACAAAAATTTAGATACTTTAGGGACTTACCATTCTTGAATGCATGGATTATGAGGAGAATCAGCTCAAATTCTTACCTCTGCTTATTTTTTTTAATCCCGTTGGTCAACAGTTGTTCCTCTATATTTAATTTACTGCCACTCAAACATGGTATGCTCTTACCACTTAAGTTATTATCATTTTGGCATTTGTTCTGCTTGGTTTTCCTAGCTTTCTACGTCTATAGTTTGATGCCTGATATAAATGTAGAGAAATTTTCCATTATTATTACTCCAAATATATATATTTGCCCCTTTCTTTCTTCTCCTTATAGAAGTCCTTTTAAGAATATGTTGCATCTTTTGTGATGGTCTCAGAGTTCTTGGATATTCCAGTCTATGTTTTTAAATATTATTTTTCTTCTTTTGTATTTTTCAAGTTTCTAGGACTATAGCTCAGAGATTCTTTGGCTATTTCCACTTCACATAATGAGCCCAACAAGGAAATCCATCCCTTTTCTTACAGTATTCTTTTTAAACATTTATTTATTTATTTATTTCGTATTTTAGGGGAGGGTCTACAGGGTGTCCAGGGTCTTGCTACTAAATCGGACTTGTACTGATCCACCTATTTACAGCCTCCCAAGAGCTGGGGTTATAGGCAAGGGCAACCACGCCCACTCTCTGTTGCTGTCTCAGCACGCTCTGGGGGTGGGGCCAGTACAGCAGGCCTGGGAATCGAACCCTCAGCCCCTGTGCCTGTTACCGTATTCTTAATTTCTTTTTATTTATAGACTTCCCATCTGTCTGCTCACCTTGCCCATATGTTCCTATCCATTGTCTACATTTCCAAGCATTAAGTTAGCAGAGTCTTGGTAGAGCATGCTCAGAACTGCTCTAAATTTCTCAGATAACAATTCCACATCCTTGTCATGCCTGTGAGGTTCAGCCTTCTTGACATACATGAGGTTTTTTTCCTGCTTTGTTGGTTTTTGCTCAAAATGGGCACAACGGCTAAGAATCTCTGGTAAACAGGGTTTTCATGATAAGCTGGTAAGGTATTGGCAAAAGGGTAATACCTCTGATTGGGTCTCTGTCTTTTAGGGAGCTCATGTCCCTGGCTATAACCTTTGCGATTGTTTCTCCCTACCATCAGGTGGTCACATGGCAACAGAGAACTGAGGTTGGGTGTTTGTCTTCCCTGGAGCTTAGTGGGCTTTTACAAAACTCCATGAGCTCAGTCTCTGGTCCACTAGTTCCTCCTGGGGACAGGCCTTGTACGGAAGAATGGAATAGTCTGGTATATTTCCCACTGGAAGCTGGAAGTTTTCCTCTGATCTTTACTGTCCAATCCTGGTGGATATTCTAGAGGTAAAAGCAAGGAAGTCCCTTTCATAAAACCCAGAAGCTTTAACTTCCAGCTCTCTGAACTTCCAGCCATTTATCAACTGATGCTCACATTTTCCTTTGCTGGTTGTTTCTCCTGCTGTTGTTTCTGTTCCCATACACCACTATTTGCTGTACATATTTGCCTAGCTCTCCAATGTGGGGGCAAGCAGTTTGCCCTGTGACCTTTGTTCTTTTGTGAACAAAGAAGAGGTGTGGAGTTTTTAGTTTGTTCAACTTTTTATTTGTTGTTAAGGTGAAGTGTTGATTTATAAGCTGTTACATGCTGTACTAGAAGCCAGAAGCCTTCATACCTTATTATTTGAAGGCACATATATAATATTTTAATCTCTAAACAATCAAGAGTTCCTTGTTCTTCCAGAAAACAGAACAGCCCAACATAGCCCGTCATCTCTAGTGCCTGTTATGCTAATTATACAGCCTCCAGTGCTTATAAAGCTAAAATTAGTTGGATGTAACAATCTGATATCTTCTCTGGAGTACATACTTTTGATTTGAGACTCCAAATGCAAATGGACCACACTTAACATAAGAGCTCTGGGACAGCAGGAGAGCACAGATTTTAACAGAGCCACTGTGGGTCACAAGAGACAGCTACATGAGGCCAAAGACAGATCCTGGCTGCCATAGTAGGGCCAGCACAGTGAAAGGAGTGAACTGGGGAGTGTTTACCAAAGCAAAGATACTTCTGTACTCATCAGGAAGGAATTTACCAATTATTATATGAAGATGAATTAACTTATACTGGAATTAGGACTACAGCACAAGATATTGTAACTACTAAATTTTTAAATCCACACAATATCATAGAAATTTAAATGATAAATATTTCCTAGATTTATGAAATGATAGTATTTTATTATATTGTCAGTTCTCTGATGTAGACCACTATGAAGAGGCTCTGAGCAGGATTTAATATTAACCAATTGGCTTTAATCAACATGGCTTTTCATGTTTATGCGGGAATTTGCCCAAGACCTAGGCCTTTGTCTGGAGATGCGCAGCAGACTTATAGTAAGTGATCCTCTGTGAGTCACTGGGCCCTGCTCTGGCCATATTGTCCTGTGAGTTGGGGTGCCTCAAAGGACAGGATAAGGCCACAGTAGACTACAGTTGACTCCAACTCCAATGAACTAAAAGCAGACTGCTGCTGCAGGCTCCACACTCTTACAATAAGTCTCAACCTAAAGATCAGGTAGTTCTCCTGATTGACATAATTTAACTATGTAAACATTTCACAAGGTCCTGTTAGACACTCACATTTTCTTCAGTATCTTCCTCCTTTGTTTGAAAACCAAATAAATATGGGCTACCCAGGAAGTTTTGATCAAAGCCTAGAGAATCTCAAGAGCTGTGAGAGAGTTTTCAAATCTCCTGAAGCCCTAAAATCATACCACTTGTCTCATTTATTTAAGCCTTCACCATCCACTCGTTCAGGAGATTGTGGGCCTGAATAATCCACAATAGCTAAGAAATATTATTAATCCAATAGTTCGCTGCCATTTTTTTTTCTTGTTTTTTAAAGAAAATGAAGAGATATACAGACAATGGGGTTACTCTTCTAACTCCTCCTCCTTTGGCTTGGTAGATTCAAAATTATGGTACTGAGATGTGATTTTTCTTTGTAAGGTTTTACTTATTTATTTTTTTGTGCAGGGTCTGATTCACTGTGCAGTATCCCTAGTGCTGGGATTACAAGTGTGTGCCACCACAGCCGGATTTTATTGCTGACTCTACATGACTCGGCCAGGGCCAGAGCATCATGCGGTGCCAGGGATCGAACCCTAGCCCCTGCGCTTACCTAAGCAAGTACTTAGTCTGCTAAGCTATTTCACTGGCCCTTCTTTTAAGTTTTTAATTTTTATTTCTTTTGCTCATATTCACAGATGATACCATTGCATCATTTAAAAAAGTAGAACACTATTTGTCCTAAAATTTCCATCAGTCTTATCACCATGTATTTATTTGCAGATATTTTTTCCTCTGATAATTATGGGTCTGAGCCTCTGACTTATTACTACAGGTAGCTCTAATTACTTCATGTTATGGATTAATTAACTGATTGTCTCTCTGTGATTTGATTAATACGTAGGTCATGAAATCAGATCCCTAGAACCCTGAACCTAGGCTTGGCGTACGGAAGCTGCACATTCTTGACAGCAGAGCTACTGCTCGGGAATGTCTGCCTTTGCCATTTGGGAAAGTGGCCCTGTACAGTCATGTCCTCAAGCAGTACTCAAAGGAAAGTGGGAGTACACATCCCATATGCTACTCTGAAAAGTTTGCAGTTGATTTTACTGAAAAAAATCCCACTCTGAAGTTCACATGAAACACTTCAGTGGTTCAAATAGAACCAGTAGGACTGTTGCCTACACTAACGCTTTGGCCAAATCTATGTAATTCATTTTACATTGTGCTTTTAATTCACTGTTATCTTTTTCTGTCCTTTAGTATAAAGTTTGTATTCTAGATTAAAACATACAAATGGGACTGGGTGAG